GGCAGGTACAGGGCGGTGTTAGGCCGCTGTGGAGGCCCCGGGCGCCCCGTGAGAGGACACGGGTGGGGGAGCCTGGTGGTGGCGGCCTCCGCGGGGCTCGGCGTTCGCGGGGCTTGTTCCTGCTGCTGGCAGGGCGGTGTGGGGTGCGGGGTGTTGCTGGGTTCGGCGCAGGGTTTGGCAGGAGGGTGTAAGTGAATTGGCCGTGAATTAGCACCTGGGAGCATAAAGTTTACACTAGTTTGGGATATTGTAGTTTAAACTGTGCTAGTCCTTTTCTCTTCTGAAAAGGAAGCGCTTCTTTCTGTATGACATAAATTGTCTTCCCTGAACTAACTCTGCATTAACCTGCTTTTGTTGCTTTAAATTACTGTTACAGCTCAGCCTGGTCTCCAGATAAATAAATGTTCACATGAGTGCACTGCTCACAGCTCCAGCCATCCTTCTGCCTCCTCTGACTGGCCTCCCCTGTGCATTTTGAATCTCTTGGCTAGTGCTAGCTGAGCTTAGTAGGTGGACATTTTTGAATATATAAAGTTTCTGTGGATTTCCTGAAAAACTGAGTTTAAGGGAAACAGGGACATCCAGTTGATTCTCCTGAAAAATACCACTAGATGAGTTCAGCTGTATTATTAGACATCAGAGAACAGAGGGAGGCACCATTGGAGGCATTATTCCATTGCCATGGAAAGCATCAGTTGGGACTTTCATCTCACCACATCACACTACTCAAGCCATGAGAAAGTCATGGGAAACTAGGCTTCATAAGTTCTGCTGCTGCTGGGAAAAATGCTTATTAAGTACTTAAAAGATGCTCAGATTATGTTGTAATAAAAAAATGGAGAAGGACTTTATTGCATTAACTTTCAAATAGCTTTTGTAAAATTTAAATGTCAGAAAAAGTCAAGTCTTAAGTTCTTTAGTGGAGCTCATTGTAGTCATATACATTCATACCTGTGAATCCAGCGATAAGGTGTAATCTTCCTTCAGTGTTCTGGGAAAATATGCATATACAAAGGGATATAATATGGGCAAAATAAACACCAGAAAATAAATATACTGTCTCTTTAAAATTATATAATTTATAGTACTAAATAGCCAAAAATGTAAATTTGTTAACCTCTCTATTGGTAAAGCCAGTACAAGTGACTTTAAGTGAATGGGTGAAGAAAAAGAGAGTGCATGTATCTGCAGAGTGCTGCTGACACCTGCATTGAACTTTCATTTTCATGACTTTAACTTTCAAAATTATTCCAAAAGCAGCTGAATGACAAGTGATGTGAATTCAAGTAATACTTTCAGGAGCTGTTCCACACAAGTTAATGTTATTTATCTTCTCTAACCAGGGACTCCTTTTAGGAGACGGCTGTTTGGGGTTTTGTTGTTGTTGGTTGAGGGCATTTTATGATTTTCTTTTTTTTTTTTTTTTTTTTTAATTGAGGTGAAGAAGACTTAAATATTGGCAGGACGGGAAAATAATGCATTCCCACAGCCTAGCTTAATTTGTGGGAGCTTTCCTCTGCAGAACTACAAGTGATTACATCTTTTGCCCCTTAGCCTTACTGCAAAAAGTAAAAGACTTTGGGATGTTGGAGTGCTCCATGGGAAAATGGAGAAAATGGAAGTGAGCTCAGAAGCTAGAAGGAATAGCATTGCCTGTCAAAGCAGAATTTTGTGCTCTCTGTTGTACCTGGTCATAATAGCTGCCTGCTTGGCATTGATCACATTGGTCTCGATTATTAGGTGCAGGAATCTCAGAAGATAGCACAAGTGGAGATCTCTCTTCTTCAGTGGTTAAGTCTTGCAAAATAAATCCTCCAGTCAGGTGTTCTTCTCTAAAGAGGAAAGAAGTATCACTTCAGTGAGCAGATCTACAGTCAGTACTTCTTTGGTCCTGTCCTCATTTAGTGATGGGAACCGTTATATCCCTTGGCTAAAGACAAGTGAGTATGATGCTCTTTGGATCATGAGCTAGGGACCCAGTTACATGAAGCACTGAGCAACCCCAAGTCCCACGGAAATCAGTCCGAAGTTGAAGTACTTGATGTTTTGTGTGATCAGATGCCAGCGTCATTAGCTGAGTGTCACGTGCATATTTGGGGTTTCCTCTCTTTGTATCATTGCTGCTAATGGCAGTCAAATCAAAGTCAAATAAATGGTACAAAATGCATTTTGAGGTTCTCAACTTTTATCATCAAAATGACACAAAATGATCTCAGCTTGCCTTCCAGTCCCTGTACTGGGTGTAAAGAATTAGCAGCAAACAAAACTCATGCTGCTTTTTCAGTAAAGTGAATACTTGCTTCTGATTGATGCAAGCATAGATTTCCAGTGATACTTTCACAGTCTTTCGTCAGAGGTGGGTGAAAGTGTTGAATTCGGAGCTTATTTAGGCAGCTTGCTTTAATCTGTATTTTTTTAAAAAGTTACTGTTTTTGGGTAAATTGCAGAGCTCTTAATTTTTGAATGGATGCTGGAGCATGAAATGCGTGATGAATTATACATATATTTAAGACCATACCACCCTCTCTGTTAATTACTTATGTTTCTTGATTCTGTAGAATGTGACATACCTCCTTGAGTCGTTGCTACCAACCTGAACCAGAATACTGATCCATCCAATAGCATGTGCTCCACATGTCAGAAATATTTCAAGCCTCGGTCCCATGGACATGCCCTGTTTCTTGAGTAGGCCTGTTAGACTCAAATTGTTGTATGAAACCTCCTCAGTCAGGATCATGAATGTTACTTTTCTATTATGAGTTCTGCTCCATACTTCTCACCGAGCAGCACAATGACGTGTAGTGATTTTAAAATAAGATAGTGTTTAAAATAATGAGAATGTTGTTTTGCAAAGTTTTTCATGGTATCACCCCAGTGAAATGATGGGTCTACAGTGTAACAGTTTCTCTTCAACCCATAGATTAGTTCTTTGAGCTAACACTTTTTGTTCCATATTCATGTCTTTTGCATAGTTGATCCCTTGCCTGTGGCTAAGGTTTGCCATAAATTAGTGTATCTGCTTTTGCAATGCAACAAACAGGTTGTTTTTTAGAGTAAAAACTAAATGCATCACAAAGGTAAATTATCACCGAATTGCTGTAGGAAAAGCTGCTCCTGGAGAAGCAGATGATTGTGTTTTCTGCCCGCATTAAAAGTAGATACAAACCTACTCTTTTGTACCTACATCCTACTGGGGTCGAGTACTTGGTTTAGTGGTTGTTCAGTTTATGGGGTTTTTTCAGCAATGCTTTAAAAGAATATCAGGAAGTTACAATTCATAAAACTAGGAATAAAATTATTTCATTCTAACAATGGCCAATGAGAAATATATAATAGTGTGTTTTCTATGACAATTATAAAACTGAATGATTTTTTTCTTTCCTATTTAAAGGAAGAGCCAAGGCTGGATGTTCTGATAAATAATGCAGGGATATTCCAATGTCCGTACATGAAGACAGAGGATGGTTTTGAGATGCAATTTGGTGTAAACCACTTGGGTCACTTCTTGCTCACCAACCTTCTTCTGGGCCTCCTCAAAAATTCTGCTCCAAGCAGGATTGTGGTAGTATCCTCAAAGCTTTACAAATATGGAGAGATCAACTTTGAAGACTTGAACAGTGAAATAAGTTACAATAAAAGCTTTTGTTACAGTCGGAGTAAGCTGGCTAACATATTATTTGCAAGGGAGCTAGCCCGTCGGTTAGAAGGGACAGGAGTCACCGTCAATTCACTTCACCCTGGGATTGTCAGAACAAATCTAGGCAGATATGTGAATATTCCTTTCCTGGCAAAACCCCTATTCAACTTGGTGTCGTGGGCTTTCTTCAAAACACCCCTGGAAGGAGCCCAGACTTCTATTTATTTGGCTTCTTCTCCTGATGTTGAAGGCGTGTCGGGAAAATATTTTGGGGACTGCAAAGAGGAGGAACTCCTGCCCAAAGCCATGGATGACTTGGTTGCAAGAAAGTTGTGGGATATCAGTGAAGTGATGGTTGGTTTATTGAAATAAGTGCCAGGGGGTGTCTGCCAAAAGAATGCAGATAACTATGCAACACATATTTACAACAGTGTAATTCTCACTTGAAATGCTGTGGGAATACAGATTACTTTGCTCAGTAAGTATTAAGTAGAGGAGTGATTTATGCTAGAATTATGTTTTGAAATAAAGGAGAATATTTAAGAGATGTAGGCATTCAAAAAACTGGAATAGGGTGTGAATATAATTTCTGGTTAAATCTGCTTGGGAACTCATGTTTTGCAAATAAAAGTTAAACAAAACCGTGTTTTGCAATATATGTGCATATTTGTCATGTTCCACTACTTGTAGTTGGGCTGGACAATGCAGGGTACTGATGGTGAAACACTTCTGTAAAAAGGTTTTGAGAACAGATCCTAATAATAATAGGATTGTTGTCTTTTTCTGAGCCATCACAGTGAAAAATGAAATAAACAGTTTCACTGATACCTTACACTGGAATTGTTTAGGCCTTGGAGTGCCATTCAAAGACCCCTTGTCAGCCTCATGGTTCAGTGAACAAAACTTGAGCTGTGTACAGTTTAGCTGTGAAGTACAAAGTCAACTTTTTAAAGTGATGTTGCTGCTATTCGGTGGGTATATACACTTGGTTGTGCAAGCTGTATCTTTATTTTCATGTGTGCTGAACTTGCTATTTCTTGATATGCAGACACCTTGGGTTGCATTAAAAATGTAGCTGACGGATGCGTTATGGCCTCGATAGGGCTTTTTATGTCACGAATTGTGTGCGTACAAAGTTCACAAGACCTCACCCAGATTAGACTGAAGAGAATATGCTTTTCAGTGTGTGTTTGGCTTGAATGATGGCACTTTAACTCAGTAATGTGATTAGATAAGTTTGTCTAATACAGCTTACTGAATATTCTTTAATAAAAATATTTTTGAAAAGACTTAGCATTCATTCTTTCACTGTGGAACATATATCAGAAACCAGCAGTCCTGACATAGTAGCCTTGTTTCAAAGCAGAAGATTCACCTGTGTTGGTTTAGGGAGCCTGTCAGGTAGGGTTGGTAAAAATAAAACAGACTCCAAATAAATACATGGGTATTACATGAAGCTGTACTGATTTATTTTTTAATTCATATAATTTATGATTTCATATTGACATTTATGACTTCTTGTTTTGCTCTACATTACTAAAATGTTCTGGCAGTTAAGATATATAGAATAACTAAGGAAGAATGATTTAGAGTGATCCATCTTAATAAATATCACTCAAGAGAAGGAGTATCAATAATAAATGATGTATTCAGTAGATCCTTAGTACCTACTTATAAATCATCATAGAATCATAGACTGGTTTGTGTTGGAAGAGACCTTAAAGATGATCATCTAGTCCAACCCCCCTGCCATGGGCAGGGACACCCTCCACTAGCCCAGGTTGCTCAAAGCCTCATCCAGCCTGGCCTTGAACACCTCCAGGGATGGGGCATCCACAGCTTCTCTGGGCAACCTGTGCCAGTGTCTCACAGATTAGTTCTGTGCTTCAGGTGACAACCCACCAAATTTTTGAGATTTTTTCTGTGGTTGGTTACTCAGACTCTCAGGATATTTTAACTTTTGCACAGTGGAGTGGACCTGATCTAGGCTTACCCTTCATGAGCAACATTGTGCTCTGGGTGAGTGACTTGGGTGGGGCCAGGAGGTGACATTCCAGAAAATCACAAGGCAAGCTATGAAACAAAGCAGGTTTTTAAGATCTTGTAACAGTTGAGCTTTGCCCTGCTCGATGTAAGTTGAGGTGTACAGATGGGTGTTGTCAAAGCAAACTCTTGACTGTTGAACAAAGTTCTCTAATGGCAGAGGGAGGTGTGTAGCATGCTTGGAGAAGTTCTGCTTTAATCTTCAGTCTTGAATTTCACAATTTCATTCTAAATACTTGAAAACAGCTGCATGCATCACCTTTAAACGGCTAGCTAAACAATTGAAAGTTCATGAACATGAACTTCTCTGTAAAGAGATACAGAGAAGCTGACCCAAACTCGGGTTTGTGTTTTCAGTACTGCTGGAGCAATACTAAAGGAACACTATTGTTTCACTGCTCAAACACCTGTGTACCTCTTGCAAAGAAAGCCTTGGATGCAAAGGTAGAGAATGGAGAAGGTGGCTAGTCTGAAAATACTGTAGTAAAGAACTGCACTGAAACTGCCTGAAGAGCAGAGGAATATATAGTTTTTCAAGCTGAATGACCAATGTAGGATGTGCACTAGCCTGCAAAACAGCAAAGGTGCCTTTGTACTGAAATAAGAGATGCGGAACAAGAAGTACCAGCTGTGTAGTATGGCTGTGTAATGTGTAATGCTTCATACATCTACCAGGCGCTTGTTTTTATTTTATTTTGAAACATTGCAGAAATAAGAGCCATTGTCAGAAAGGGATTACATTCCTGCAATCACAACTAAATTACAGCCCTTATTCCAGGGTAGGAGAGTAATCACATGATACTCTTCATGGAATATTATGTGGCTGGATATATATATTGCCTGAAAACAGTTTGAAAGGATGGATTGTTAGGAACTTACCAAAAGGTAAGTTTTTTTCTTTTTTCAAGATCTGAAGCTGAATGTAATTTAGCCTCTGTGGACAAGAAAGCCTTGATTAATCTCTTGAGATTGCTGTTAATGTTTGTTTATATTATGCCTTTGTTATTGCAGTAGCATCTAGGAACTGGAGACCTTGTAGGTTAACAGATCTTGCAAAATGTAAGTAAGTGCAAAACCAGAGAAGAGTCCTTACTTCAACAAGCAGTTAGTAATGCTGACTCAGTCTAGGTTAGAACCAAGCATTTTGTCTAAGGATGTGTATCTACTCTGCTCTACTCTGGATTTTAGTAACCTCAGATACATATATGGCTATAATTTGAGGACTGTCTGCTGAATGTCTCCTCTTGGAGCTGGTAGAGGATGCTCCAAGAGGAGATCTGCACCTTCACACTTCACCCCAGTATTACAGTGCCTCCAGAAAGATGTATGTTACTATTCTATAAACCTTTTATATTGAGTGTGCAGCCAAAACCAAGATGCATTGTAGATGCCTCCCTCCACCATTACCACCATACGGACACTGGCACCCTCAAATTAAACTTATTTCCCATGAAGAATTCAACTTGTAAAAGGAATAAACATAACGGATGAAAGAGTCAGACAGTGATCAGGGATAGCATGTAAAGCCCATGGAAATGCAAACCAGGTGCTTTCAGCAGCAGGTACAGACACCAGTCACATTGCTAGCAAGTATGGTACAGATATCCAAGGAAGCCACAGCTGAAGTTAAGATTTTGTTGAGGGCTGTGATAAACATTAATGTTATAAGACAGCTCTTTCAAAAGCCAAAATGTACATTCAGCTGTCTTAAATTGGTGGAATTTGAGCGTTTGAGTTTGGGTCCACCAGCAGTGTTAGACCAGCACTCCATACCTGTGTCCTGGGGATTGAAAACTGTCCGGGAGGGGAACAGGGCATAGTGACTGCATAGAGAAAGCAGCCCCTGCCCTGCTGCTTTTCACAGGGGCAACGCCTCTTCCCTGCCATAGCTGAGGGGTCCTGGCCACAGCAGCCACTGACTGTTTGCAGGCTTTCCCCACCGGAGCCTTGGCCGGTCTCAGCAGTGAGTGGAAATGTTTCCAAGTGCCCCCGTTCCTCAAGGATCACATTTTGTGTGGCAACAACATTGCAGACTAACTGTACTCTAAAAAGGTTATTTTAAAATTGGTGTATGAGAGTGTCTGCATGCAGACATGCGTGCAGGTGCAATTTTATCCCTCATTTTAAAAGACAGACGGGAAGAGCTGTCAAGGACTTGCCGAGGAGCTGAGGGCAGAGGAGAGCTGGTTGTCAGCATGAGAGTGTCACCTGCCACCTGTGCTCGTTTGGTATGTGATGAGAAATGGGCTTGGGGGCAGATCTGTTGGGCTTGAGCTCAGTGTTGAGCCCAGTTGCTTAAAGTTGTGTCCAGGCAAATGAACCCACTGATTTTGCGGCCAAAGAGCACACAGGCATAGCCGAGGGGAGGAAACATCTCTGTGTAATGGTCGAGATAAATAGGCCTTAGGTGTCTTAAGGAAAACATTTCTAAGTGCCCTTGTAACCACCTTCCCTCATGGACAGGCCTAGAGTTTAAGAAAGAAATAATTTCCATTTAAAAACATTTCTTTCTTTCTTTTGGTCTCAGTCCCAGGCCCTAGCTGTAAGCTGGTCCTCCCTGCACACATGTGCCTGTCAGGGCTGAGGTTTCTGCAAGTGAACTAGACTGCGGTTGCACGTATTAATTTTGTATGCAATACCTGTTTAAACCAAGGGAGACTTATGTACGTTTAAAAAAAAAAAAAATACTCCGATTCTGTCACCAGTTTACCTGCCTTACCTTGCCACAAAGGCCAACATCTATCCCCAGCAAAGGGACAACGCTGCTCTTCCAGTTACCACAGCCAAAGCAGCAGGCAAGCTCATAAACCCAGTGGGGGTTCTCCACTAAAAAGTCTCCATCTTAATGAGATAAATGATCAGTTTTTCCATGATGCAAGAAAAACAGAAGTATTTAAACTCTCCTCTCTTCTGCGGTTGCCTGGTTTGCCTAAGCCTCCTACTACGTGAATGCTTCACAGGCTTCAAAGCCTGAGCCCTGTGAATGTGCAGTGTGATTATGCTTTTGCTGAAAAATGTGGATAATTCCCACTTCAAGCACACTTAATTTCTTTCCACCTAGGGCTACGAAGAAAATAAACAACTTGCAAGAGTCATACAAATACTTTTAAAATGGGAGGCCTGTTCCCTTTTTCACATAACTTTTTCCACACTAATCACTGAGAGGGTAACTGACTTGCAAAACGATCCAGGAGGCCTCCACAGCTGAATTATTATTTTTGATCTGTCCCAGAATGGTGCTGTTATTTCTCATAACGGAAAATGAAGACCTCCCTCCAGACTTTTTACTTACCGCTTCAGCTACCACTAGCAGCCTCACACCTGTCGTAACTGGATTCAGATCACAGAAATTAATTTGAATATTTAATTGATTACAAATGTGCTATGTAAAATGGAGAAAGGAGTGCTTTCCTAATTGGTTTTTATGGGGGGAAGGCTGGCACACACTGACTGTCTGACAAGGTTGATAGCCCTTTTTTTTTCTACTTTTCAGAATGATCACTTCTTTACAAGTAATGTGAAAAAAAAAAAAAAAAACCACCATAATTAATTTTGGCTAGGGAAGGAATCAACAGCTTATAGCTATTGATTCAGGAGGGTGTCACATGGTTGAAATCTGTAATA